TCAGCTCCCAAGTCTGTTCTGTGGCCCTGATCAATCACCACCTCCCCTTCCCCCTCCTTTGCGCTTCCCTGCATTAGGTCTTGCCTTTCGGTAACCTCTCCTGTCTGCTTGGGTTGATTCAGAGCCTCAGACAACAACAGTTAAGCTTTGGATGGTGTTATTCTTGAGAATGTGTGCCTATGTTTATCATCTTTTAGCTTTGTAATGACAGGCTGTGCCTGGCTTGATAATAGCCAAGCTAAATTTGGTTTAAAAGTTGTTTTGATGTAAAAGTTTGGAAAAAAACATAATTGTTTTTTTTCCAGAGGTTAATCCTGCAGGGTGGGAAAAACATGCTTGTTTTTGAAGTATAAAGATAGTTCCTGCCAGGTGGTGGTGGCATACACCTTTAATCCCAGCACTCGGGAGGCAGAGGCAGGCGGATCTCTGTGAGTTCGAGACCAGCCTGGTCTACAAGACAGCCAAGGCTACACAAAGAAACTCTGTCGGAAGGAAGGAAGGAAGGAAGGAAGGAAGGAAGGAAGGAAGGAAGGAAGGAAGGAAGGAAGGAAGGAAGGAAGGGTGTTGGAGTGCAATGGAGTGGAGGGGAAGACTGGATTCCCCCAGAGCAGCAAATGCAAAACTTTCCATAAACGTCTCACAGCTCCTGGTCACAACTTTGTCAAGTGGACATTCCTTCACTCTCCTCTTGGTTGGAACTATTCAGTTTGTATGTGATGATGGATTATATCCCTGCTTAGCTATTAGGCATATACACCAAGCCCCCAAATTTTGTATCTTAGTATTCCTATTTCCCAGGATGTTTGTATATGACAGTTTGGCAGGGAAAGAACATTTGTATTTGCAAATCTTTCCAACCTGTTGTGGCAGAGAAAAACATCCAGTTCCACTCTTCATAGCAAGTTTAGAATTGGGAACAACTGGAGCCACTCTTGGAGCAATGGCCACAACAATTGCCGGATGTCAGCTACAAAAACTTAGGATGTCAAATACACAGGATTTCTTTGCATTAGAAGACTCTTTTGCAGCCAGGTGGTTGGTGGTGGTGCAGGCTTTTAATTCCAGCACTTGGGAGGCAGAGGCAGGTGAATCTCTGTGAGTTCGAGACCAGCCTGGTCTACAAGAACTAGTTCCAGGACAGGCTCCAAAGCTACACAGGGAAACCCTGTCTTGAAAAAACAAAACAAACAAACAAAAAATCTATTACAAAATTAGAATAACAGATAGACTCATTAGCTGAGGTAGTCTTACAACATTGTGGGGCTTTTGCAGACCAAGGTCTGCTTTTTGCAGAACAAGGAGGTTACTGTATGACCTTGGGGGAAACTTGCTGCTTCTATGCAAACTACTCAAGAATGATCAGGAATAATTTGGCCAAACTTTCCTATTCATTACAGTTGGCCCCTGTCTCATTAATGCCTTAACCACATATATAAATTCCCACAAGGAGCTGATAGTGATTAAGTCTCAATAAGAACAGATACCCACCACAGAGTCAAGGATTTGAACCAGGGTTTAACTCAATGGGGGGATGTGATGGCTAACTTTATAAGTTTAAAATCTCTGGCCTGGCATTGGTGGTGCATGCCTTTAATCCCAGCACTCGGGAGGCAGAGACAGGCAGATCTCTGTGAGTTTGAGACCAGCCTGGTCTACAAGAGCTAGTTCCAGGACAGCCTCCAAAGCCACAAAGAAACCCTGTCTCGAAAAACAAAAAAACACAACAACAACAACATCAAAATTCAAGCATGTCGTGCACGTCTTTAATCCCAGCACTTGGAAGGCAGAAGCAGGTGGGTGTTCCAAGCCACTCATGTTACATAATGAGACCATGTCTTCCCCCACCCAGACAAAGTTTCTCTGTGTAACAGCCATGATTATCCTGAAACTCACTCTGTACACCAGGCTGACCTCAAACTCACAGAGACCCATTTTCTTTTGCCTTCTGAGTGCTGGGATTAAAGGCATTCACCACCATGCCTGTCTTTTTTTTTGTTGTTGTTGGGTGTTTTATTTTGTTTTGCTTTTAGTTTTTCAAGACAAGGTTTCTCTGTATTGCTTTGGAGCCTGTCCTAGAACTCGCTCTGTAGACCAGGCTGGCCTTGAACTCACAGAGAGTTGCCTGCCTCTGCCTCCCGAGGGCTGGGATTAAAGGCATGTGCCACCAATGCCTGACCTTATCATACCTGAGTTAAAAAAATTAATTCAAGCAGATGTCAACTCTGCCTATGACAGGCAACAGACAACAACCTTGTAGCTTAACATCAGGTACATTAGGTTATCTGAAATTGTTACATTTCCATAAATATAATTTGGATCCCACTATAAGTGGATACAATTTTATTTATATGTTGCTTTGTCTCATCATATTAAAGAAAGACTTTCCTATGGTAAAACAAGATTCTGTGCCAAAGTAAAGGATTTTTCCAGAGCAGAAAACAAAAGGTGAAGACAAGTGGGATGTTAACTCTAATTCCAGGGATCCTACAAGTCACTCACGAAGTCACACACATACATATGAAAACAAATCTTTTTTTTTTTTCTTTCAAGACAGGGTTTCTCTGTGTAACAGACCTGGCTGTCTTGGAACTCATTTTGTAGATTAGGCTGGCCTTGAATTCACTGAGATCTGCCTGCCTCTGCCTCTGCCTCCTGAGTGCTGGGATTAAAGGCATATACCACCACAACCCAGCATTAAAATAAATCTTTAAAAGGCAACTAGTTAGATTTCATCCAGATGCAATTTTATGTTTTATCACTGGACTGAAGACTTCACATACTAGATAGCCGCCAACTTGGTACTTGGGAAAATTCTGTTAAAAAGAATTATTCTTATTTGAGGCATTTCTACTAAATTACATAGTCACCATGAAATTTATTTTAGTGAATATTTAAATCTACTTATAAAAATCTGTTCTATTGTACTAAGTTTTCATTGTGCCTATCTTCTCCTGACAGTCAAACACATGGTAGTTATTGCCAAAACTGAAGGCTGGAGAGATGCCTCAGCAGTTAAGAGAACTGGCTATTCTTGCAGAGGACTCCAGTTTGATTCCCAGTGCCCACATGGCAGCTCATAAGTGTCTGTAACTCCAGTTCCAAAGGATTCAATTTCGTCTTCTGGATTCCCTGAGCACAAAGCACCCAGGTGGTGCACAAGCATTCAGGCAAAACACCCTTACATATAAAACTGCCCCTAACCAGACACTCTAGTTAGTTCTCAAACTATGATTTACCTTTTAATTCGTATTGTTTTTTTGTGACAAGGTAACTTTGGCAGGATTGGAACCAGGCTGGCCTCAAACTGACAGATACCTGCCTGCTTCTGCCTTCTGAGTGCTGGGATTGAAGGTGTGCACCACCACACCTGGCTTACCTCTTAATTTTTTAAAGACTTATTTATTTTATGTGCATTAGGTACTGGGAACTAAACCCAGGTCCTCTGCAAGAGCAACAAGTGTTCTTAACTGCTGAGCCATCTTTCCAGCTCCACAAGAGACTTTTGAACATGTTAACTAAAAGTTCAGCATTGGTTATATAATCTTCCCACGGCGAGTGCTCAAGAAACAAAGAACAATGAACAGAAACTAAAACCAATGTATTTTGTTGATTGGAAAACGACAACTCATCAAAGACTTACTCTCTGAAGGACCCTACCACGTATCTCTAACTACCTCCTATGCTACAAAACTTGAGGAGATTAAAGCCTAGCTATGCGTCTCTTACCTCAGACTTAGGTCAGAGGTTTCTGACAGCACACCCACTCCACCTTGAGTAAGACTGAGTCATGAGCCGGGCGGTGGTGGTGCATGCCTTTAATCCCAGCACTCAGGAGGCAGAGGCAGGCGGATCTCTGTGAGTTCGAGGCTGGGCTGGACCGACAGCCTCCGAAACAATACAGAGAAACTCTGTCTCGTAAAAACAAAAACAAACAAACAAACAAAGACTGAGTCATGCTCACTTTTGACCTCATTGATAATGAGCACCCCAAGTAACCGAGCTTGAAACTTCTGACAAGCCAGGCATGGCAGCACACACTTTTATCAACAGCACCAAGGAAGCTGAACAGGCAGATCTCTGTGAGTTCAAGGCCAGTCTGGTCTACATAGTGAGACCCCATTTTAGTTTTATGTGACAGGGTCTCACTTGCTATCCATCCCAGAGTGCCTTCAACCTTTCTATAGCTCCCTGCCTCGGTCTCTGAAGTGCTGGGCCACAGACATCCATCACTTGGCTTATTTTCTTTTTGGGAAGGCAGTGCTGAGGACTGAATTTGGAGTGTCAGGGTTGCTAGATACTCACCAATATAGCAGACGTTTCCTTTAGAGCTTTGGAGGCCGATGTCTGGATGGAGGTGGCTGCAAGGTTGTGCAAACTGAGGGTTTGGAATGAGGATGTCCTTTCTAGGAGGATATAACCTAGGCTATAATAAGAGAAGCTACACTGCTGGGCTGCCCCTTCCACAGAAGCTTCAGGCAGACTTAGGGCAGAGGGTTCTATGGTAAGACAGGGGTAGACATCTGAGGGGTTCTCCAGGAGTAGAAACTGGTATAGAACAAGGGTGGCAGGATCTACAATAACCTGTGGAGGCTTGGCCAATGTGATACGCAGTACCTGTTTCTTTTCAGGCCTCGTGATGTGTTTTGTCGCCCACTTCCACCTTGATTTCAATCAACCATTATTTCTCTTGGCCCCCAGAGGAGGGTGCTGGAGACAAGAAAGGTGATGTCTGGCTTTTCTTCACCTGGTGGGCCAGCAGCAGATCACATTCAGTCTGGGGCACCCTGTTCTGATCCACACTTGGCTCATTACTCTGAAATGCCAAGACAAAGGTGGGCTGCAGATGTACAAGGGAGCCTGAGCCATGGGCTTCTTGCTGGCAGGGCAGGGAAGCATGTTCCCCAAGGCTCAGGCCTAAGAACATGCCCTGGACCTCTAACTCACCCATTCTCACTATTCTCTGGCCCCAGGACCCATAGGGACTCCCATTCCCCGCTCCACATCAGATGGGTAATGTTCTGTTATCATACCCAGGTTTGTGGGAGTCACATGTCTCTGAAAAGCATGAACACCTAATCATCATGCTTATGAATCAAAAAGGACCCTAGGGACTTCTAGTGAATCTCTGTTGGTGGCAGCTCACCCTGTAGTCACAAATAAGTTCTCTAACATCCATCCCAGCTTCTGCCAAAAGGACAGACAGGAAGACAGACTGCCTGACCTTCAGGCATTCATCAGTGCTCCAGAGGTTACGTAAAAAGAAGATCCCCGTGTGGGTATCTAGCCCACCATGACTGTTGCTACCACATGAAGGAAGAACTCTGAAACACTTTAGCCATCACAACCTCAAAGTTTTATTATCAACAGCTCACGTTCCTATGAAGTCCAGCTTTTGACAAGGGAGATGCGGGATGGCCGGGGCTGGCTGAGGCAGCTGTTGAGATGGTCCTGCTCAGAACCTACAATGCCTGCCGGGCAAGCAGGGGTCTAAGGGATCCCAGGGTCCACACAGTGGGACTGACTAGTGCACACAGGATCCTCACACATGAAGAACCACAAAGCACACATGGGATCCCCTAACATATACAGAACTACAGGATCTCCGATTGATTCCATTTTCTATCGATGTGGGTTTTTCTTGTGCCTGATTCAGTTTCTAACATGAGCAGTTCTCCTGCAGGAGCATGTCTGGCTATGAGGACATGAGACCCAGTTGTGCTCTGCATTCAGGAAGGGAAAGGTCAGTTGCTATAAAAAGCCTGCATCTGTTACTTGTTCAGGAAAGAGACCACTGGCCAAACACGTGTGAAGTGAGAGGCACTTCCCGGCTAGTCAGATAGGCTCACATGTGTCTGTACATGATGATGGTGGTGGGATTGAGCATGAGGTACAGTCATATATGTATGTTACACCTAGGCCTGACTCAGACCTAGTTCAACTCTGTCATTCCCCACTGTCACAAAGACAAACCCTGAGTTGAGTATGAGGTCAAGTATGGGTAACACACAGGTCAGAGAGGGTCCTAGTGCTAGGGATGCTGGCTGAGTCACAGACTTGCAGTGTGGCCAGGGAAGATTCTTGCCTATGCTGGCTCTTGAGGCACGGCATCCTAGCAGTGGGGGCTAACTCTGTAGCGTGAACTCATAGGTGTTGGTCTCCCAGCGAGAGGTGTCTTTGTCCAGCATGCTCCGTTCTGTGAAGGTCACATGGCCATCTGCATCCACAAGGATGATGGTGTTGGTTCTGAAAGAAAGCACCTATCAGAGCCACAGCTGGGAGCAGACCTGAGGCACAGAGGGTAGGCTCATCACACCCAAGGCCTGACCTGGCTACTCAGCTCTGAGGACACAAGGGGCTCCTCAGGGGCATCTGGGCTCCATGGCCAGCCTCATGGGTGAGTGAGTCCTCTGCTCTAAAACTGCTCACTTAGCCTGACCTTCTTCCACAGCAAGACCCAATTTAATATATCCCTCACAGGGCTGTAGAGCTGACTACCCGCACCCCACCCACAATATACAGGTTCTCAGACACCTGGCCACACCTGGCTCTCCAGGGGGTTAAACTTTCAATTACTCAGGCACATGGCCTGTTTGCCCAGAAACAATCCAATCCCTCTTGTGTCCTTCTTCTGCTACTGGCCCAGGCTGTCACCTGGCTCGCTTTCTTCTTCCTTTTAGCCCACCCTATGGTGGGTTCACGTGTGTGAGCTCCTGCCCTTCAAGCAGGGAGGGTACACATAGGAAAGACCAGCCCTTAGCTGCCACTCCAGCATGCAAAGCACAGGCTTTGGAGAATCAGTGTCAGGGCAGTGGCTCCAGTGTCTGCCAACAGGAACATTCCAAATGCCATCTCTGGCTTCTCTGAACCCCACCGAGGACACAATGACAGCTTCAGGAGTCCAGAGCTCTGACCTCCTGACCCTATGGGAACATCACCTACAGGATCTGTTCAACTTGCTGTGAAGTCTAGAGAAGACAGACTCCGGAATGCACGGAATGAGAGGAGGTGCCTAGCCATGGCCAGTCATGTTGTGGGGAACAGCCAGTGGGAAGGAAATAAGCCCAGCCGTTCTGACCCTGATCACCTGGTGCCGTAGGTGGCGCAGCGCACACACACAGCTGCATACTTCCTCAGAATTGGCTGTACATACTCCCGGCCCTGGTCCTCAATGGCTGGATCTGGCAGCTGTCTAGAAGGATAGAGGGCCAGAAAAGCTGTTAGTCACCTTACTGCCTATCTGCAGCCTGAGATCCCTGAGGAGTCCTTAGCCTTAAAAGGCGGTAGGAGAGGCACCTTTTCTACTTGGCTCCTTCTGCTTTGTCACCTCTCCACTGTATCACTTAGGACTCCATCATTAAGACTATGCATCCAGATGGCACAAGCACTCTCTGTCTCTTAGCAGTACCCCGTGGGCATCGGCCCACAGACAAGAGCCTTCTTGAACCCTGAGACTCAGCAACCAGAACAACTTGTACCATGACTGTGGTTATCAGAACAGCCAGAGCCATACCTGGCCTGCCAAGTGAGGGCCATCTGGACGCATGGCTGAGCAAAGCCCAGCACAGGCCCACACGAGGGCAGCTGATGCTAGGGCTGGAGAATGCTGCTATGGTTCAAGGCCCATATGGTTCAAGGAGAGTAAGCAGTCCTCCCCGTGGAGGATGGAAGCATGGCAGAGGGCTCCTTTGAGGGATTGCAAGGTGAGCAAGATGGAGGGACACTGGGCCTCTGGGCAGAAAGGAGCCAAGCTTAGACGAGAATGGGAAGATGCACGGGACCCTGAAGGAACAAATGCCAGGACCCTTGGCTGGATGGCTGAGGCCTAAGTGCCCAGAGTCTGAGGGTGCCTCATGAAGAGGTTCATGGGCATGGAAGGGGGGTTCTGTGCCTTCCTGGGACAGGTGTGTCTATGCCTAATGCTTAGCTCCAAGGTTACTGGAGGAGGGCATAGCAAACAATGTCAAGCCCTAGGCCTGCTCTGAATAGCTTCTGGCTTCTCTGGCTCTTCTCCCTAAGGCTTGCTGAGTAGCTAGAACCTTCTAGAATATCACACTGGTCCTTTTTATGTAGAGGGAAACCAGACCTCAGAGAACACCAAGCCAGCACAGGCTGCACCAACTCTCATTATTCGGGGCCCAAGAGGAACCTGAGGTATAGGTCTAAGTTTTAAGGAGGCAGAGGGTAGCAGATCAGGCAGGCTTTCCTGCAGCTGGGAAGCCACAGGCTTTCAAGGTAGCAAACCCTGCCTTCCCCCCTGCCTAGACCTGTATGGCTGCCCCAAAGGGACTTGCTCACTTACGCCTCCTCATTGTTGAGTACATCTAGGAGATGGGTGACAAGGGTGTCCTTAGGGAGTGCCTCGCTCTGCTCCACCACTTCCATGAAGAGTTGTTTGCCAAAGCACAGCTTCCTCCAGGGCGTCTCCAGTAGGGCATTGCTTAGTCCATAGGTTCCTGTAGGAAGAAGGTCAGCCTTGCCATGTGAAGGCCCATGGCTTAGTCAAGCATCCTGAACACGACACCAGTGGAAGCTGAGTCCCTGGAAGATCACTCGGGCTCTGTTGGAGCCCCTAAGGCCAAGTTGTCAGTCCTAGTGTCACTGTTTTTTCTTTCTGGAGTAGCTTGAAAGACCATTCTATGATGGTGCTGGGTGATTGGGTAGTCACATAGAACGGAGTTGAACCTGACCTCACACCCTATGTAAAAATAACCCAAGGACAGCAAAATGGCTGTGGGTAAAGGCCCCTGCCATCAAGTCTGATGACTAGAGTTCAAGCCCTGGGACCTACATGGTGCAAGGAGAAAAGTACACCTGCAAGTTGTCCTCTGGCCTCCACATGTAAGCTGAGGAATGGGCATGCAGGCATACACTCATGCACAACAAATGTCTGTTAGGAGCAAGTTTCCTTACATGAGACCCAGTATTCAAAAACCAAACCAAACCAAAACAGGAGCAGCTTTAGGACCAAGTATGGTAGCATGAATCTTAGAACCCAGGAGGCTGAGACAGGATTGTGGCAGGTTTGAGGCTGGCCTGTACAGCAAGGTTCAGGCAGCCTGGGTTAGAGTGAGATAGTGTTTCAAAGCATGTTGACAAGCATGAGCACGCACACACACACACACACACACACACACACACACACACAAAGTAAATACATTTTAAGAAGAATAAGCTTCATGACCTTAAATTAAGTAATGATTTATTAGGTAATACACTGAAAGTATAAGCAACAAGATAAAAGGGACTTCATGTAAATTTAAAGTTATGCACTTCAAAAAAAGTGCCAAACAAGTTAAATAAAACACAAAATCAGAAAGGATTTTTGATGAGATTTGTAGATTATATAGAAAGACCAAAATTTTTAAATGGACAGACCATACCTGTAAGTCCAGCATTCAGAAGGTGGCAGTGGGAAGATCAGGAGTTCAATGTCATCCTTGGATATATATTGAGTTGGAGCCTGGCTAGCCTGGGATACATGAGACCCCACACCACCCCCCATCCCTGCCTGAAAAAAGAAAGATGGCAGGTAATGATGTCAAGGTAGAGAGCTTTGCCAGGTCTTCCAGAGGCCGTGGGCCTGGTTTATCAGCACCTCAAGTTGGGGAGGGGGAAGACAGAGCACTGGGGATATGGCTCAGTGGTACAGTATGAGCTCAGCATGCTTACCAGCCTGGGTCCCATCCCTAGAATTCCCTCCCCCTAAAGACAGAGCACAGCATGTCTTGGTGAGAGTTCAGAAAAAGCAGGAACCTTCATAAACTGCTGGCAGAAGAAATGTGCGAATGCTTTCGAAAACCACGTGGAAGTTCCTCAAAAGGCTCCAAGTGGAGAGAGAAGTGTTGGCCAGTGAGGTGGCTCAGGGGTAAAGACAAGTCAGCTAAATCACAAGTCAGCTTCCTCTCACATGGCTGGTTCTGTCTGAATGAAATGTCTGAGGAGCAGTGTGGATGGTGCTTCCTATGTAGATCACGGTGCTTTGAACTCACTGAGATCTGCCTGCTTCCACCTCCTCAGTGCTGGGATTAAAGGTGTGCACACCATGCCTAGCTCACCATTTGTTTCTTATTTTATTAACTTATTTGGTTTATTGAGATAGCACC